TGACTAGCTTTGGATTTAGTCTCCTGTTAACATATTTGGTAAGGCAAATACCTTGGCAACATGGCTCTTATAAGGGAGATCTGGATGGAATTCCTGGCTCCTGGCTTGAACCTTATGCAGTCATGGTTGCTGTAGCCATTTGGGCAGTTTGTTAGCAGACTGAAAATTTCTCTCTCTCTTTTTTAAAAGATTTATTTAGTTTTATTGCAAAGTCAGATCTATACACACAGAGGAGGAAAGACAGAGAAAACTATCTTTCATCTGATGATTTACTCCCCAAGTGACGACAACAGCAGGTACTGCGCCAATCCTAAGCCAGGAGCCAGGAGCTCTTCCAGTTCTTCCATGAGGGTTGAGGGTCCCAAGGCTTTGGGCCATCCTTGTCTGCTTTCCTAGGCCACAAGCAGGGAGCTGGATGGGAAGTGGAGCAGCTGGGATTCAAACCAGTGTCCATATGGGATCCCAGTGTGTTCAAGGTGAGTACTTTAGCTACTAGGCCACTGCGCCAGGCCCGAAAATTTCTCTTTCTTCCACTAATTTTTCTGTCTGTGTGACTTTCAAATACTTACATAAAGTTTTAAAGAATTGTGACAAGGAGTTGAGATTGAGTGATGAGGAATACTGCAGATCCCTTGCAGAGCATGTATAACTGAGAAACACTGGCCTCTGGTTGGAGGAATGGCTTGAAAAATGGAGAGATTGTAATCGTTTCTCAGCCTTTTGGTTAAGATCAAGTGTGGGGAGAGATTGTGGTTTGCATGCCAACTCCCAGCAACCAGGAAACAGCCATTTTACATTCTCTCCCCCCATCCCACAGACATGCTGCACCGCCTACTGTGGTATGCAACTCTACCACTTTACCTGTGGCATGAGATTTGGGTCCTTTGAAGCTCGAGAACACAAACGTGGTGAATGAAAGTCCCGGAGGGAAACAAGAGCGCTGAAATAAGGATAAAGGTTCTACAAAGGGGACATGGCTCTGACTGTGCGACACCTAGTGGACGCAATGCTGCGTGTGTCCCGTAAACGGGAACAGAAAGACCTCAGCTATATTGTGGAGCATCAGTGAGTTAAAACGTGCATATCCCTAGACTAGTGTGATGCGCAGTAGGTGTTATCTCGTCTCACCTGTGGCTATTATCAGGAAATATGCTTGTGATTATGCTGTCATAACCTTTTCATTATACAACCGAATCTCTGTGTTTTGAATCATGCTGATTGTTTTTTTCTGATGCTTCTCTTTTCAGAATTTTATTGTCACTTTTCACAACTAACATTTCTCCCAAACATACATGGTTTTGCAAGCTGGAAGTTAAGATAAAGTGTATTTTTCTGAAAATAAACAAGTTTGTGGAAAAGAGAGATCTTCAAAAAGTCAGTGAAAATGCACATAAAGAAAAACAAATGATTTAAACAAAATTTATTGGAAATAAATTTTTAAATTTCACATTCTACAAAGGTTTGACTTTCCATGATTCACTATCCACCCTTGTTATAGGTCTATTTAGAATTTTGGTTAACTCATGATTCAGTTCTGGTAGATTGCATGTGTCCAGGAATCTATCCATTTCTTCTCGTTCTTCTGATTTGTTGGTATATTATTGCTTATTTTTGGTTATTCTAGGCATGTCCGAGGTATCTGTTGTGACATTTCCTTTTTTTTTTTTGGATTTTATTGATTTGTGTCTTTCCCTCTTTTTGATTAGTTGGGCTAGTGGGGTATCTGCTTTATTGATTTTCTCAAAGAACCAGCTCTTTGATTCATTGATCTTATGAATTACTGTTTTGATCTCTATTTGGTTAATTTCCTATGATGAGGGATATAAATCTACAACCAGATATCATCAAATTACTATAAGGAAACATCAGGGAACCTCTATAATACATTGGAATAGGCAAAGCCTTTTTGAAAAAGAACTCAGGAATACAGGCAATGAAGGCTAAAATAGCTAAATGGGATGGCATTAAACTAAGAAGCTTTTGTAGTACAAGGCCAAGTGTCAACAAAGTGAAGAGGCAACTGAAAGAATGGGAGAACATATTTGTAAACTGTGTAGCTGATAAAGGATTAAAATTCAGAATCTATAAAGAACTCGAGAAACTCAACAACAACAAAACATACAATCCAGTTAAGAGATGGGCAAAAGGGGGGATGAGTAAGTTTTTCTTTTTTATTATTAATTTTTAAATTTAATTAAAGAACAAGGATGGGTTGCAGGTTGGGCTAAAACACCATTAGGGATGCTGAAGTGAGGTGAGCCATGCTAGTCTGGGCAAGGTGGGTGCCAGGTCCGTGAGCCTCAGGGGCAGGGGTGTCTGGTAGGGCCCGAGTTACCTGATCCAAGTCCTGGTGCCCACTTGCACAGTGGGTGCTAGGTCCTGTGGGGCCCTGGCTGGGTGGTCCAGGGCACCAATGGCATCAAAGCAAGCTATCTGGCCACCCAAGGGGCACACTTGTGGGGGCTTGAGTGTGGGTTTGCAGGGGTCTGGTGATGGCACAGGTGGAGGCATGCAAGGACCTGGGGTCTAACATCCAGGATTGGAGGTCTGGGTCATCTCAGTGGAAAAGACAGAATAGTGGATGGCTGTCCCAGGAGATATGGCAGCCCATCAAGGCCTGCAGTGGGCATCTGGTATCAAAGCAGAGGAAGGAGAGCAGAACAAATTGGCAGCTATCCTAGCCAAGCATTTGTTGTGGGCTAAGGAGTTGATTAGCACTCGTTAAGCAGGAATAGGAAATAGGATTGCAGCTAAAAGCACCTAGACTAATTGGACTCATCTGTATCCAGTATCCTGCTAAATAAGAATGTAAAGGGAAGAGTATATAAGGAAAGGTGAAGAAGCAATAAAGCAAGACTTCGCAGGAGTCCATCATCACTGGTCTCCTGTCGGTGCTTCATCCCCAGACCCTCTCTGTGTCCATGTTACTGGCTCTGTTGGCTGGAGTAAGCATTGACAGCAAATATCTGGGTGAATGGCGACTCTAAAGTCAACTGTGTCAACCAATGGACATTGGAAGGTTTACTCACTCTTGGATTGGCAAGATCAACAGCATTTCAAAACTAGCAAGACCATTTGGGCAGAACCCTTGGAATATGGGCCATATTGGGGGCCCTAGGTTGATATTGGGTGGCCGTTTCCCGTCACTGGGTACTGGGGAGGTGGCTTCTCTCTTTGTGTTCTCTCCCCAGAAACAGGAAGAAGAAATATAAAATTTGGAAGCAATGATCACACCCATTTCCCCCTAACTTTTGCGTCTTCTACCTCGATCAGCTGTGTAAACATCATCAAAAATAAAATAAAATGTTTATGTATATAAAAAGGTCTAAGTGCACCCAGTTAGTAAGTGATACAGCATGAATATGGAGAGGATCATAAAAATCCATATCACTAAGGGAGGGCTGCATGAAAACCTAGTTCTAATCATCTCTGTAAGCTTAAGGAAATGATGCTTAAGGAAATGTTAGGACTAACTAACGTGAGGGATTCAATGTAACTTGCAATGAATTTGTTTTTAAATAATTTGATGAAGCAAATATACAATATTCCTTCAAAATGAATTATTACTTCATTTTTTCATTAATCATGACTTTGGAAAGAGAATAGATATTCTTTCATAGTTAGGCACTTGGTGCTATCTTAGCAGGTTTGATCAATACAACCATTTAAATAGAAAGAATATGGTATCTTTCACATATTTAAAAAGTAATATAATGTTTTGAATTTCACATGACCCTCAATATGGTAAATTTATACTGAGCTATTGAGTGATATTTTATAAAATACAGAGAATGAGTTGTGCATTTGGCCTAGAATCAAGACATCAGTTAAGGATACCTGACCGTGGGTAGTACCAGTGATGACTTAAGCCAACTGGGTTCCTGCTGTGTGCATGCAAGGCCTTGATTTGGTTCTATATTCCCAGTTTTGCCCTATATCAATAGTGGGTATTTGGGGAGCAGACTAGAAATCTCTCTCTCTTTAAAATAATTAAATAACTTTTTAAAAAGAAAGCATAAATACATTATGATGGGATATATATATTTAACAGATGAGGATCTTACTGACCGTTTCTCAATGATATAATTGTAAGTATTACACATGAGTGTAGATGTGCTATTAATAAACCCTCTTACGTGGAAACCTTAGGAATGTTTGCCATCTAGTCATTCTGGATAATTGGGGGTAGAGTCTCATTTCTGCCTCAGAGGCATCATGGTGGTGTAGTTGTAATTTGTTACATTGACTGGAGGCATCCAAGCCAGAAGCCTATGATGGCTCCATGTTCTTTCTGAGTCAGGCCATTTGTCCGAGATCCATTGGCCTTGGAGGAATTTGTGGCAAGTAGAGCAGGTTGGGGACCTTTGCTTTTCATACTTTAGTTTCTGAGGTGATGATGGAGTGGGTTTTTCAAGAGAATTTTTCTGGCTGGCAGTTAACTCCTCTGTACGGTTGTCATGAGAGATGTAGAAAGAAGCATTGGCATTGCCAGGGTTTGGGTGAGCTGACTGACACTGCTGAACTCTCTGTGTTTGGACTCAGTATTCAAGTGGGATAGACACCTGAAGACAGATGTAGGACCGTGAAAGTTGGCAAGTAATTAATACTGGGCTTACTATAGGTTTAAGTGATGTGCTAGAGCTGGACCTGAACAGGTTGGCTGTGTAGCATACCAGAACATCACTTTAGGGCTGGTGCTGGATACAAACCATGGGATGGGGCAGTCACAGAGGTTTTAGCGTCTCTGAGGACAAGACCAGCAAAACTGCGGAGTTACTTTTTATGCTTCGTCATTCATGGTCATGTGAATGAAAAATCTGTTAAGAAAGGTAAAAGCTGTAATTTGCTTCAGGGACTTCATTGTTGCCTGTACCTCAGGATGCTACTGGTGACAAATTTGGTGGGTCTCTGCAACTCAACATTACTAACACTGAAGACAAACTCATTATTTGTGGGCCCCATTTCAGGTGTGTAGGGTAAAAACGAGACACTTGGAGAGGTGCAGGGAAAGTAATTTATTAAAGCAAGACATTGAAACCTTTACATGTTGCACTAAGAGCAGACTGCCTGGGAAAGACAATGAAACCACGATCAAATGATGTCCACTTTTCACAAGCCACACTTCACAGTCACTTTTGTCTAAAATTGAAAACAGAGGGGGAGAAGGAAGAAAAGCTGAGCTCAGCCATACTGCTCCAAGATCTGATAGTTAATAACAACTTAGAAGTTAGTACAATTTTAATTCCCAAAAGCATTATGAAGAGGTACAGGGCCCAAAACAGGGTGGATGGCAAGCTAGAGCATGGAATGCTGCAGCTATCGCCAATAAAAACACCAGGTGGTGGTAGCCTTCTCAAAGTAGGTGAATTGTAAAGGGACGTCCAAAAGGGCTTAGACACGTAAAATTTAAAAACCTATCCCAGGAAGTGAAGATACATTGCAGTGTGCAACTTCACTCCTGAATAAAAGGAGGAGTCCCAATGAAACAGATGTACCTTCACAATATCATGCTGGATTTTCTACCTCTGGCTATACCTACAATTCAACGATGCACTTAAATGGCAGACTGTTAAACGGTAGCTGTTACTAAAGGACTCTACTACTGTAATAGTGTGTGTGGGGGGGATAGCGGGAGGGGGAACACAGGAGGGAAAGTGGAATCATTGTACTTACAAAACTGCATCATGGAAAATAATAATAGCAATGAAAATTTAAAAATCTTTCGATTATGCTAGAAAAAGTTTCAATCCACAAGGAATTTTTGGTGATATATATGCCTTTGTGGATGAGATCTTGCATACTGTCTGAGAAGACCCACAGTATACTGCATGTTTTAAATGGAAGAGGTAACATTAAGAAAAAGACAAAAGGGTCCAGCAGTTACTATTTCTGGTTTGAGGGTTACAGATCTCTGTTGTGTGCTCCCCTATAGGAGTGACACAAGGTGGTGAGATTCTGTAGAGAACTCGGAGGGGGATGTTGTGTGTTCAGGAGATGCCCAGGCTCCTAGGGTAGCAATTCTGCCTCATGACTCACGAACTGAGCTTCAGTATTTGTGAGCCTTTGCAGCTAAGCTTCTTCACAAGCAAGGTAGGCAGACTGAAAGACAACCTAATCATCAGATTTCCTGGTAACTCGTTAGGTAAGTGCTGCCCATTGATGGGAAGCTGCAGGAGACAAAGCAGCGAAGGTATCCCGTGACCGTGCCAGGAGTTAGTAGGATTGGGCTCCCGGATCTGCAAGACCTGGGAGAGAATTCCAATTCCCTCATTCCATTTTGGCTTACTGTCCAACACACACACACACACACACACACACACACACACACACACACACACACACACACCATGTGAGACTCTACAGCGACCAGGTGCACTGGGAGGTAGCATTCAGGCTCAGGAATGCTCAGAAGTAGAGAGCAAACAGGGTGCATCCTCCTAGCATCCTTGCAGGGAATTCTGTTTTTGTCAGTACTGCTTGACCAGCATGGCATCTAGATAAATGACCTGAGAAAGAGAATTCTTTAGGAAAGATGCCATGTACCACTAGGTTTTACTTGGAAGTTGTTCTGGTAGTGGCCTGTGATCACCTTCTACAGGGCCATCGACAAAGCAGATGCCCTGTCATAGAGTCACCTCATCCGACAACTAGCTGATCCAATTCCTCCCCTTGTGACCCAACACACCACTATGTGTAAAATAGAAAAGAAATTACCAGTATTTTTGCAATGATTGTTTTGTCTGCGAAGGACATCTCATCCGTGCATTTCTGTATTTCAACCTTTGCATCAATAGCTTCCTGAGGTGCATCGTATTTGGAAAGTGAAAGTCGTAGCACAGATTCCGGAGAAAATAAGAAGAGTGTGCTTTCTTTTAAGAAGGCTGGACAGACCACTGCTTCAGCTGGAGAACAAGAGTCAAATAAAGCATACATTTGACAGGTCTTCTTACTGTCCAGGGTCTATAGTATTGGACAAAAAACAGGATCCCCAGGGCTTTTTGTTTGCAACCTATGATAGTGGCAATGATATTAAAAAAATTCTGATGATATTGCAATTACCTAAAAATTGCATAGCAAATGTTCAAGCTGTTTTTCAAACATTAATCTATTTTTTTTTTAAAAAATGCACCCACTGCTTCTCACTGCTTCTTTCCCTTGCTGGAATTCCCTTTTGTTTTGTTGAAGCATTCAGTGAATGCTCAGCAGACTTGGATATGGTCCACCTTCAAAGGGAAAGGAGATGTCTGAGTCAACACAGGCAGAGCAGTGAGAATCTGGAGGACAGCCGGTGAAATGGTGAGTGGGGAGGGGATGTTCTGAGACTAAGCAGAAGAAACTCAGGTTATGCTATTACCTGTAGACAGAGCTAAACATTAAACTTCAGAGACACAGGATTATCTTTCCCACATATAAACACTGATTAATTCTGTGCTGGTGTCTTGAATCCCTGAACAGGATAAGTGAAGGGAACTTTGCATCATTCTATCCTACCAGGAATTGTGGGCAGACCTGGAAACATGTGTTTTCTGTATCTTACTTCCTCTTGAATTCATGGCTTTTGTATTCCTCTTGCACATTGAAAAGTTCCAGTGTGGTACCCGTAGGATTCATCCTCAACAATACCAAACATGAGAGAGAACATGAAAAAATAGAATCAAAGGGAAAATGCAGAAACCAGGCATAGGTTCACAAAGTGAGAGTTCTCAGTGAGTCTGAGAGACTTTGGATCATTCCTCAGAGCATGAAAATGATTATTGCATGGGATGGCTGAAAGGATGGCCAACATGAACTCTATAGAAATAGGAATCATAATGCTAACCTATACAATAGGTCTACCACCATTGCTGAGCACTCTTAGAAAACCAGGAATTCTAATGTCTCCCTTGCTAACTCACTTGCATCATTCTCACTCAAAGATTCAGGGACAACTGGTTCTGCTCAGACTGGGGATTCTAGCAGGTTCTTTCAATTTTAATGACTTTGAATGCATGGGTAAGAATCTGTGGGATCCATTAAAATCTGCATGTGTAGGAGGAGAAAAATTCCCGATCACCACAAATACTATCTTTATGTTACAGCTGGATTCTTGCCATCCTTAATCTCACTTCATTCTCCCTCACGTTGTGAGCTGTAAATAAGAGGGACAAGAAGATGCTGGAACAGGTTAAGATTTGGTCTTAAGTCACAGGACTAAAAGTCAATGCACTTCAAATTCATACTGAGATTAGGCACCACACTCCACTGCTGCTATGGCTCCATGCCAGCCATGGAGTCACGGTCTCATCACTCTTCCTGAATTTTCCTGCAATGATTTTCTTGTCAAGATTCCTAGCATGGGAAGATTATCATGAAGCCTGAATCCTGGAGGTCCATTTTTATTAAATAAGAAGAGACTTTGGAAGTGTTATTTGTCCCAGACCTCACTTGCATTAGAATTACCTGGTGTGTGGACAAGGACCCTACCATAGCCACTGCAAATGATACTCACCCTGATAGAAGCAGATGGCCAGAGTGACCAGCAGGAGAGGCACCAACAGCTTCATCGCTCTGAGCTCTCACTTCTGGGGCACTGTGTGGGGTTTGTCCTTCTCTGTAGGGGCGGTGAAGCCAGTCCCAGAAGCCCAGGGCTATTTGTACTTAGTGAGCCTGCTTAGGCCTGCCCACTAGAGAGGAGGGTGGCCACAAGACCTGGCTCTGAGTCCTTAGTAGGAAGCATGGATGATCGTCACCAGTGCTAATCTGTATACCTGTCAGTGTACACAAGAGGAAAGTCTGGAGAGTTCTGCTCTGTCCTCCAGGTGTGCTGCTCAGTTTGCGTTTGAGATCATTATTATTAAATGTTTATTGTATCTGTCAGTGAAGAATCTTGCACATGATCTGATAATAGCAGGACAAGAGCAGAAGGCACAGGATGCTGTGAGCGAGTGTGTGTACTTCAGAATGAGGAGAACAGATACAGAGAAGGCCCCATGTGGGACCCCATTACCCCATTTCCTCCGTGTGACAGCTGATCCAGTGTGCTTCTCTTTCCTTCCTTTTTCCTTCCTTCCTTCCTTCCTTCTCTCTCTCTTTTGGGTTTTCTATATTTTATTTTTTACTTTATTTTATATTTTATGATACAATTCCATAGTCTCCGAGATTTCCCTTATCCCCTTTCCAAATTTCCTCTTCCCACTGATTTCCCCCATATCATTACAATAGCACAGTCCTACATAAGAAGGTATAAGTCCATTATTCCACTATTTAAGTGTATCCTGACATTGCAGGTATGGACAGTGACACTGCAGAGTCCAGCATCCTATTGTCAAGATACACTTAGCAGTCTCATTGGGAGTCCGTCTTTGATTTGAAAGTAGAAATACATACTGCATTGTATCTTCACATCTGGATATGATAATCTCTATTACACAATTACTATAAACTCTCTTAAATGAAAGTCATAAACAAAATCAACCAACAGGAAGAATGTTAAATAACTTACAGTGCCATGAAGTTAAATAACATGCTACTGAATGACTAATGTGTTGTTAAGAAAATGAAAAAGAAAATAAAAAAACCTTTTGGAGAAAATGATGCTACTGCATGACCTATATGAGTCAGTGAAGAATTTAGAAAGAGAAAAGAAACCATTTTGAAGAAATGAAAATAAAAGCAAAAATGTCAAAACCAATGAGATTTAGCAAAAACATTATTGAAAGGGCTGTTGATCGTGTATTTTTCACTGCTGCAGTTTCAACAAGATTTTACCTCTCTATTCATCACCTCATGGTCCATCAACATTTTCACCACATAAGAAAATCATTGAAATATCTTGCTTTCTGAGACTTTGTTTGGGGAAAATGGCTGCCTCCCTTTTTTGGTAACCTCAGTCCTCTCTGACATATTCAATTAAACTGTGGTATCGACAAATTACAGAGCTTCATGTTTTCATTTCAGAAAGAGAAAGTCTAATGTGTGGTAGCACTCAGAAAGCATGATAGGAATTTCTGAGGATTTCTACCCTTCACAAACATGGGTGTTAATAACTCAATGTCTGGTATCATATATGAAGTGGAAGTTAGTGGAAAGGCACGTGCACCATAGGAGACATTCATGTAGATGTATCCTTGCACGGTTTGCCGCTTACCCAGTGCTTTAGCACACGTCAGGAAACACCTCCTGTTACCAGCTTCATTTAGGCAAGGGGTGGGGTGGCCGTCAAGGCTCAGTTCAGCTGCACCAGCATATCCTAGAGACAGAGCAGTAGCCCAACTACTGTTTCCATAGCCTTGGAACTATGATGAGTCTGGAATAGTCTAGTCATGTGGGAAGAATGAAGGCCATGACTTTGGGTGGTAGACAACATCAGTCTTTGCTTCTGCTTGGCATAGAGTGCACTTCAACATTTGAGCTCATATTCTGCCAGGGAAATAAAGACTGGATCCCTGCATTTGGCACCTGGCATCTATCGGGACTGAATGAGGTCATCTGAAGGTTGTACATGATACCAGCTACAGCACAACCTGAAAGGCATGTGAGGAGATGTCAGAAGGACAAACGATTGCCATAGGGGTGGAGTGGGAGTTATGAATGGGCAGAGCACAGCAGATTGTAGAGCAGGGATGTTATTCTCTACAATACCACTATGGTGACTAGATCTCATGGTTCCTGCTTTCAAGCCCCCAAATGCACACATCTGAGCAAACTGGTAATGCTAACTTTGCCGTTTGCATTATATTAATGTCCCATTGTATGTTTGTCAGATGCGGTACAGGTGTAGAATATCGTGGGAGACATTGAGTGTGAGGGGTAGATGGCATATTTCTCTGGACTTTCTGTCTGACCCAACAGTGAGTGGATAATTGCTCTAAAGTAGACATTCCATTAAAGTGGCAGAAAAGGTGAAAAGGTGTGATCAGCACATCTTCTTCAAATAAAGGGGAAGATGCATTTGAACAGATGCAGGAGAAAACAAGACACCATCTATAGACACGTTATGTAAAAGCAGGCATATCTAAGATTGTTAACTGCAAAACTGTTATTAATGAAAATGGCTCGTATTAGCTGGAAGTAAAATCAACACAGAACATCAATAAATCCATATAGACAGACTTTCACCATCACTAAATAAATGGAAAAAACTACTTCTGACAACAGCTCAACTAAAAGTATATTGAAATGTAAATAGGCAAACATTTATGAGAAAATTATGAAACTACTCACGGAGATGAGCAAATCATCAAATCATATACATCGATACTGGAGAATTATTAGACAATTGAAGATTTCAGCTATTCTGAATTATTTGACAATCACAGATGTGTTAAAAGAATTTAAGAGTGTATTACTTAGTTGAGAGGTTAGGAAGAACCAATTTTGTACATCTACTGTTAGGCTCAATTCCGGCCTTTGTTGGGTGGAAGGTGGGAATTTCAGCAAATTGTTTCCCCTCACAGCTTCAGTTGCTTCCTATATAAAGGATGAAAATGGCAATAACAAACTCATAGGATTTGTGGAATTTGTGCATAATTCAACATAGGAGCAATAGCTAAGTGTATGTCAGCTGACATAATCACCGAACAAAAAGTAAACCATATAAAGTAAGTCTTCCACAATAAGTCATCTCTTTTTGCCAACATACGTAATTAAATATGAATGTGGGATTTCAATGAAAGTGCTTTATTTACTCTTAATAATAATGTGCTTTGATTTCTATGGTATTGTATTTTGGATATGTTGTATAGCTTATTACAGTAATAATATCCTCGGTAGTAGTATCTGAACCATGTTTATAAGTTGAAAGTTGGAGGGAAACATATTAATTATTTCCAAGGGTACACAATGCTTGTCCTCACCAGGATGTTTTGGTCACCCATGTCCTTTTGGCTGAGAATTAATCCCAGGGATTATTTACGGTTGGATCATAAATTTGTGACCATATCCCTGGTTCATGAGGTCTTTGACAAGGTCATTCCAATGCCTTATCCAACAGACATGCTTGTCAAAGACCAGGATCCCACCGAATATCACTGCAATTCTCTTTGAATCATCAGACTAATCTCTAATTACCAAAGACAAAAGTATGGTACTCATCAATGTGAATATTAAAGAAGTGTGTTGACTCTAAAAGCAGAATTCTATGAATTTATAAGATATAATGTGTCTATGCTGTAGGTGGCTATATCTTTTCCTATATGCAGTGATTTCCTTTTCTTTCTTGTAATTAGATCAAAGGTTGGTGGTAAAATAATTCAGAGATGTACATTGCAATGTGATTTGTAATTGAAGCTCGGAGAAATACAAAGAGCTGTATGACATCACTTCCATTAGATTCAATCACTTCTTGTATGCCCATTGAGGCAACCTTGCACGATTGCATCAGTAAGAATGAAAAATATGAATGATATAACATTACTTGAAGAATGAAAGAAGCACTCTCTATATGTAAAATACATAAACCTCTTTCTCATGATAAAGTGATGCATTAATAATAAAATCCAAGTTTTAAGTTTCAATGTCATATAAAGTTGAAACACATGTGTCGTTGCTGTTAAAATTCTAAGAATGTTCAATTAGGGTACAAATCAGCAATTTGTTTTAAGCGACATACTGTATGAAGTTATTTGCTCATTTATTCCCTTGACTGTGAAGCCAGGAGATCCTAGGCGATTAGTGCCCTACGTCTCATCAGGGAAGTCAGCCAGTGGATGCAGTGACTGGTTATCATATCCACATCCCAACTGCCAACAAATTTAGTAAACCTAGCACACACTCAGAATTATTGCTGGATGGTCTGAGTGGGAAAGAGAGATCCCTTATATTGGAAATGTCTTCTGATATCAGAAACCCTTTCTCCTATCCCGCTTATCAAAATACACAGTGATGGTGCTGTGGTGCTGTTAACCTCGTTTCTCCCCTCATAACCCTGGAATAAAGTTGGTAAACACAGAAATGTTTCTTTGGTTCTCAAATATTTCTAAAATGTAGGTTCCTTTACTAAGCTGTGTGTGTGTTTTTTTAAATAAAATAAACTAAAAATACTAAGTGAGCATCAGCTCAGAGATGTTCTGACCCTTCTCAAGTGTTCTTGGCCTTCTTATTAACAATGTCTTCGTTACAATGTCTGCTCTCCGTGGCAAACTTGTGGATACTCTTGCTGTCTTCCGTCTTATAGTGCCAAGTGAATATAGACAAGGTTAATGTTTTTGGCCAGAAAGTTGATGATTTCAGTCTAGCTGTGAGATCAATCACCTCCTAGGTTTGGTAGTTGTCATTACCTGGAGTGCCTGAGGACACTGTAGTCTCAGTGATAAGATGTTCAGGGGTCATGAGGCAGAATTCCATCCCGACCCCATCCCACACGGGAGAATTCTCTTCATTTGAATTCAGTGACTCCAGGGTTTTCAGTGCTTGCCAGGGTTTCTTAGCCTCAGGACTGCCCAAACTTCACTATTGATGGAGAAATTAAGGTCCATTGTTCTGCAACATCAAAGAGACAAACTGTGGGGCTCTTCCCAATCTATGATCCTCCTCCCTTCATCAGAAACCTGAACTACTTCCTGGGTGGCCTCAGTGTGAATTTGTCTTACTTTGTAAAAGTTCTACCACAGCAGTACAATATAGTGTTAC